CTGCCTCCCTCATGGAGCTTTTCCTCACTTTTTACCTGTCCTTTGAAAATATTCTTGAAAAGCCAAAGCAGCACCTTTTTCCTGAGGTGAAAGGAAATGCAGCCTCTCAGGGGCAGCTGTTGCTCAAACAAATTGAATACTTTTATTATGTGCTGTGATGAAACCATTACAGCTGGTTCATATCTACACAACTACAGGGCAATCTAGCTTCCTAATATAATTGCCAGTATACCACTGTTTGGCCTAGTTCACTGATAAAAGCATCTAATGGAATTTTCAGGATCCATGACAGAAGAACTCTAAAATGGGGCTGTTGGGAAGTTGTTTTCTCAGCTAGTGGCTGATTGGTATAACTTTGGCTCCGTCTTATAATTTGAAAATTGTGTTTTTCAAGTACGCAGTATATTCCCTGCAGTGAAAAGTGTTCTCTGACACAATTTGGGTCATCCTGTATGACCTCTAGAAAATCCTTCTCTCTTCTAGTCTTGTGAAGTCAGCGTATGAACTTTGTGTGGCCTTTTTATAGATTATAAAATCTCACTACAGAAAGACCAGCATCAGAACGGTTTATTTTTGCTTACATTTGTATATCTATAATTGATCATGTTATATACATCCTTTAAAATTAAGAAATACAAAGCACACACAATAAATACACTTGCATATTTTACATAATTATAATTAGTGCTGCAAGTGTTTGCGCTAATCAACATTCTTGAGATTAGATGTTTTTAAAGTACTATTTGGAATTTGGGTTCTACATCAGAAAATAAGGGAGGAGAATTACTCTTTTCAGCAAAATTCGAAGCCTTCCTCCTGGTTAAAGAATTTTCCTTGAACAAGCATTTAGAGCACATGCAGTCCCTTGATGGGGCAAATAACATCCTCCTGGTGCTATTTCAGCTTGTGACAATGGCATGGGAGGGGGCAGGAGACCCCCCTCCCCTATGACAGGCTCCCAATCAGAATTGGACCCCGATGGTACTTCTAAATGGAGTTGCCACCAGGAACTTGCAGCTGCATTATGGCTTCTAGTCCTTGTTGCAAACTCATGTCACATATTTTGGCCTACAGACCAGCCGTTTAAGCTAGAGGAAGGCTTCAAGAGTTGTTGAGCAGAGGATGCAATCCTAAACAGGTCTACTCAGAAGTAAGGTAGAATGAAAGATGTGGCCGAGGTTTGGAAGAAGAGGTGATGGGAGAGCTGGGTGGTGGAAAGGCAGCAGCTGAGGGAGGACTCAGCAAGCTGGGCTCCCCGCCCCATGAGCTCCTTCTCACAGGTCCCCTTCTTGTATTGTATGTATTTGGGTTCTCCGATATCCATGTGCCATGTACTTTGCTTTTTTCACTTTCTTTGTGAAATCAACGTTTGGATTATCAGCATTTTTGTCTGCAGTGACTAGTTATTATGAATTTGTTTCTGTCCCACAAATCCCTAAAAACATTGCAGGAATGGAAAACCATTCCCAACAGGCCCACCTCCCTAAAACATTAAAATGGGCTTCTTACCAGTAGGGTTACCTACTGCAGGTTGGGAAATTCCTGGCAATTTGGGAGTGAAGCCTGGGGAGGTAAGGATGGCTATATTGGTTCCAAAAATTATAAATGCCCCCATTATTTTAAAAATGATTGCCCACTGACATCTCCATTTTCCTAGTTCTAGTCATCTTGTTAGCTCAACAATATTCCATAATTTATATATGATTTCAATTTTTGTTTGAACATCCATTATTTTCCATCTTGCTGCAACTTGTACTTTTGTCAGCATTAATATACTTACTACTAGTTCAACGTCTTCAACTGCTAGTCAGATAACCCATCCAAAGGACTTAGTGGTAAACTGTATCCCATCATTTCATTTTGCCCTGTACAATTCTCATTTTGTGGCATGACCAGCGAAAGTATTACTTGTTGTCAGGCAGTTTTCAATCTCACATCTCAGAGAGCCAATTAAGTGTCTGGACTCTAATCTGGTAGAACCAGGTTCGATTCCCCACTCCTCCACTCGCAGCTGCTGGATGATCTTGGGCAAGCCGTAGTTCTGTCAGAGCTGTCCTTGAAAAAGAGCAGTTTCTGTCAGAGCTCTCTCAGCCCCACTTACCTCACAGGGTGTCTGTTGTGGGGAGGGGAAGGGAAAGGAGTTTGTAAGCCGCTCTGAGACTTCGAGTGAAGGGTGGGGAATAAACCCAATCTCTTCTTCTTCTTCAGTAATTAAATTAGAGCACATGGATGGCATTCTGTGGTCAGCTTGAGAAATGGAAAAAGAATGTGCTGTTGAGTTGCAGCTGACTTATGGTGACCCCATCCATGGAGTTTTCAAGGCATGAGACAAGCCGAAGAGTTTTGTCAGTGCCTTCCTTTGCACAGCGACCCCAATCTTTCTTGGTGGTCTCCCATTCACGTATGGACCATGACCACCCCTGCTTTGCTCCCAAGTTCTGAGGAGCCCAAGTTAAGTTGGTCTATTCAGGCTGCTAAATTGAATGGGAAAGCAAGGTGAGAATCTTTTAAAATTTATGTATAACAGAACTTTTGTTGTTCAGTCGCACAGTCGAGTCCGACTCTTCGCGACCCCATGGATCATCTCCCGCCAGGCCCTCCTGTCTTCCGCCGTCCTCTGAAGCTGGCTCAATTTCATGTTCGTTGCATCGATGACACTGTCTAACCATCTCATCCTTTGCCGTCCCCGTCTTCTTTGACCTTCAATCTTTCCCAGCATCAGGGTCTTCTCCAGGGACAGAACTATTGATTCATAAAACACTAGTTTCCTATAAGTGAGAGCTTACATAGCAAAAAGTACTTACCATTGCACCAAAATATCAATGGTAATGTTACAGAAGAAATTTCACTGGCCTATTGCAATGGGGTAGCTTTATTACAGCACGTACACACAAAAATATAAGTCGAAGCTGTGCTATAACTTCAGTTAAATATAGAATCATAATATAGATTCCTCCCCTGCCTGCCTGAAATAAGTAGGGCATTTATTTCTTGAATACATATGGTTTATGTTCTTCTGTTGGACTTTATTATAAGACATAATAGAAACTGGATGAAAGACATTCCTAAAACACAATTGGAGTTGCACTGAAGAAATGTATAATCAGTAGTGGCTTTCCAGCACTTAAAATGTGTTGGCCACATTGATTTATTTGGCTCTGGAGTCCAAAGTGGTGTGTTAACAGCATTACAGAAACTTTTACTGGGGCTTCTGCTGGCAACATGCTTAGCAGAAAAAGTGTAGGTTTGTGTTTGTTCCATTTGTACACGCATGGGGTTCAGTTAAGGATGAGATCACAATGTACCTGGGTCCCGCAACAGCCGTCTGTATGCAAAGCAGGCTCCTGCATTGTGATCTCATTCTTAACTGAACCCCATCCTATCCATGTAGAAATGCAGCACTTTAGTTTGGCCAGGAGATTATTTTGTAGTTTGGCCAGGAGATTATCCACAACAGCAGGCTACCGGTTCACTGCTGCAAATGTCTTCTTAATATTTGAATATCTTTTTAGAGCAGGTGCTATGGAGCTACTTTTGTATGTCCCATTACCTTTGTGAGTCCATCTGTTGACTTTGTCCTCCTGAATTGCTTGCCAGACATGAGTTGGAGGGAGGGGAAGGTAACAGATTTTGATTGGGGAACCTCCAGTCTTTCATAAGAGACAGAATCTTCTTAATCCCACTTCACTGTACAAACTGCATAGGGGAATATCCTGTCAGTGTCTTTGAGACCTTTGTAGCCATTACACCATTCCTCACTCCTATCTCAGTCACATTTGCTAGTTAACTAACCAAGGAGCAAAGACTGTTGGGCCTAACAGGACTGGAAAGAGAGGATAAAAAAAAATGAATACACATGTATAGAGATAAGCAATAGATAACATTTACCCATCAACTATAACCCATCTTTAGGGCCTCATTTTGTTACAGATTTCAACCACTTGATGGGCTTTCGATCTATATTTATGTAATTGTTGGAGTAACAATAAAGTTTGAAATTCCATACGACAGATATGGTATACCATGAAAAAAGGAGTGTGTATGTTTCAAAGGAATTTTAAAAGAAAAATCTTTGTTTTTTGCTTTAATCCACCTTCCCTTTCCTGCTAAATTGTTGACTTTTGATAATAGCTATAGTGATAGTATAACTGGGGAAAATATACTAATAAAGCCACTTATCTTCCCGGGTTATATTCCTACCTTCATGCTCCTATCCTTCCTTAGCTACTGTATCTATACGAGTTTTTTTCCTCCTCCTTTATAGTGTTTCTCAGACTGAGGTAGTGTTAAAATAGATTTGTCCATTAGAGCACCAGTAGCTACGCTGACCTTTATGAAACTTTGATTTGCTGAAGAACGTCCAAATGAGCAGAAGGAAATAATGTACTTTTCAATGTTGACTGTTTCGAAACTGCAGTTGTACAAAACTGACATGTGGTTTACCTGTGAGAGGTGAATGACACATCATTGCTGTCGAATTAAAAGTTGAGCTGAAGCAAAGGGCCTTTATTGAGCATAGTGGGAGAACACCACTTGTTTTTAAGGCAAGTGACATATGCGTGGTGGAAGGGTGCTGGACGAACAACGTACATAGAGGTGCATGATCATGGCTCCCCCTGGGGCCAGACAACTAAATGTTCGGAGTGGTGGGCAGGTTACAGGCTCAGTCCTCTGGCACTGTGTCCCAAGTATAATGCTTGCCCCATAGGATTATGCTTTGCTTATGTGGCATACTAAGTGGCATTATTGGGATCCACTACATGAGGCAGAAGATTAATTTCCCCAACCACTCAATATAAAAATGTAGTTGATACACAGCCTGTCTTTATATGCATAGTCCCACATTTGTGTTTTCTTTCTTGGTTAGGGACTTTTATATATGCAGATACCAACTTTCGATTTTGCTTATTGGATTTGCCGTTTGTAAACCATGTTCTATTGAATGTATGTATTGAATTTCTTTTTCTCCCTTTCCCCCCTTTTTTCTCTTAGGTTCTAACTATGCGAGTCCCCGTCCTGCTCATGCCAACATGAATGCCAATGCAGCTGCAGGGCTTGCACCCGAGCATATCCCTACTCCAGGTGCGGCCCTTTCCTGGCAGGCTGCTATTGATGCTGCCAGGCAGGCCAAATTGATGGGTGCTGCCGGCAATGCAACAATATCTACCGCCAGCTCGACACAGAGGAAGCGGCAGCAGTACGGGAAACAGAAAAAACAGGGTACCACCACAGCTACACGGCCTCCCCGGGCATTGCTGTGTTTAACACTGAAAAACCCCATCCGGAGGGCATGCATCAGTATTGTTGAATGGAAATATCCTTTTTGGTGTAGTGACGTCAGAAATCATTAGGTTGTCAGTATGGATCAGATTTGATTTACGGGTGTGCATAAAGGGGTCTAACTTAAAAAGGTCTAACTTTGCCTCGGATAGCACTGTTGGAATACCATTTGGCACCTCTGATGAAAGTGTGATTTCAGGGGATCATTTTATCCAGCTGATCTGGAAGCAAAGACCACACAACCATTATTTTATGAGATACATTATCCAGAACTGATTCTGATCTTTTTCTCTTTATAACAGCCCTGTGAGATAGATTAGGCTGAGTGTGTGTGACTGGTCCAAAATCACCCATCAAATCTCTCTGGTAGAGTGGGGATTTGAACCTGGGTCTTCCAGATCCTAATCCAACCTTCTAATTACTACATGTTGTTTTTCATGGCACAAGAAAGGGATTTTCATGGCTTTGCCCAGGCACTTTTTTCAACCAGAAATGAGCTTGACTGAAAGAATGGTGCTTGGAGAGAGGGGCTGCAGGGAGGTAAGCCAGGGAAAATTTAAATTCCCTCATGAATACATGAAGTTGCCTTCCAGTGAATCAAAACACTGGTCTGTCAAGACTACTGTTGTCTATTCTGGCTGGCAGTGCACCTCTGGTGCCTCAGGCAGCAGTCTTTCACATCATCTACTACACCTAGATCATTTAAACTGGAGATGCTGAGGATTGAATGTGGGACCTCCTGTATGCCAAGCAGATGCTCTATCACTGAGTCATACACCCTCCCCTGCACCCCTTTTGCCTCCTAACCCCCCCCCACTTTCTTTGCCATTGCAAGAGATCTAGGTTTTAACAAACAGATCAGCTGCCATCACATCTAATATGGTTCTGAGGTAAAATTTCCAGCAGCCCAGGTCCTCAAGGAAGTTTGGAGGCACAAACATAAAGATGGATAAAAGGCAGAGCGCATAATCCTAGTAGATGTTGTTGAAAACGTTTTTGTTCTCAAGACAGGGGGAAAGGTTAAAAATGGATTTGTCAATAAAGGTTTCATAGATGGCCTCCAGCATCTACTTCATAGATTTAGATGCTAGTTTTTTTTTAATCCTCTTGATTAGTTTTCCTTCTTACTCTTCCTGACTCAGATGCTTAGAATTTTTGGCATGTCATGATGGATGGCTGACTCAGGGGCCAAGCTCATATTGGTTTACTTGCTTGGCATCTCAGCAACTGTGCATCCTTAGGCAGAGAACACAAGTGAAGGCCTGATAAATGTATGAGATCAGTGCTGGCTAAACAGATTGATGTATTGTAAAACAGGAGGTTGCACTGATGAGATCTGGAAATGACTGAACAATGCAGTTAATTCAGTCTCTGAGGGATTGTGATGGTTTTGAAAACAAAGAAACAGTTGAAATCTTCCCACTGACTCACCTCAAATACCAGAATTTTTCTGAGCCATAACACATGTTTGAGTTGCCACTGATTTACTGCTAACAAATGGCAGCAGCCACTTTGCCATAACTTGTATAATGACTTATTGTATGGTTGCCTACCATATTAGAATGGAGCTGCCATGTTCAGAGGCAGTGCTCTTCTGATTACCAGGTTCTGGAGGGAGAAATCATAGACACTGTTTCATTGGCTTTCACTTGTGGACTTCCTAGAACTACCTGGTCAGTCACTGTTGGACGCAGATTGCTGGATCTATAATATAGTCCAGCAATAGAAAAGAGCGAGTCCAGTAGCACTTTAAAGACTAACAAAATGTGGCAGCTTTTTGTGAATCACTGCTCACTTCTTCAGATACAGCTAGAAGAGGAGTCCATCTGCCCTATTTATTGGAAAGTGGAGTGATATCAGATGCTGAATGACATTAGCAGCAGGCAAATGACAATAGCAGGCGTGCTTCACATGAATGGATTTCAGCAGGGGGCTGGCATTTCCAGTGGGTGCTGTGTCTGGTGGTTTACATGTGACAACTAATCCTTTTCTACTGTTCTGTTCTACTTATGGTAGTATACTAGGTGCAAATGATAACCTCAACAATGTTCATCAGTCCAATTAGGGTGAATGTAAGGATAGTTGAAATAAATATTGCAGGTGGGTAAGCATTTACTCACATTAGGTGGGTTCTTATTCCCCCTACCCAATCAAGATGCTCAAAAAAAGTGGTCAGAGGCAGAAATGCCAGTAGGAATTTGTTCTTAGGGAACTTTGGTTGCATACATCATTAGTGGTAAAAATTTATTTTGCGCAAATATCAATATTAGACAAACACCCTGATATCCCTGGGTTGAAATATTTAGGGCATATGAATATGAAAAGCAATCACTTCTTTTAACAATGAATATTGATTTTGTTCATGTCCTTAATATATGTATAAGATAGTTTAGAGGGCATAATCAAAATCAACACATGTGTTTGTGTGTGCATAATCATAGCTAAGAATAGTATCAAGAGACATTGTGTGTTAAAAATGAACCTCTACACAATTTTAGTGCTTCTTTGAATACATGTCTCTTAAATTGTTTTGCAAAAGGTGAGAAAAAAAGGGCTGAATAATTTAGAACTGTTGTGTAGATTTGGGAGATCTTTTCTTAAATGATAGCTATAATAGGCAGGTTGAAACTGTATTGCAAAAGGGAAGTATGAGAATTTATTTGAGGCAAACATTCTGTTAAATAACAGCACAGCCCAAGAGGGGAAAATAAACTTAAAATTCAATCTAAATAAAGAAAAAAAAATCTTTAAAGAAATCTGTGTTTACTCTGGCACGCGACTGGCCTACCGTGCTTTTGACATATTAGGAAGAAACTTGGCTAGGAGGACTGAAAAGCACTTTAAAAGGCATATGTTTCTCTTCAGAATACAAGGGATTAGGAATGTCTTCTTTAAACAGAATTCTTTTAAATCTTTCCCCCCATGTAATTTGTGTATGTGATTTGTTAAAAAAACTTTTCCTTAACTCCATTCCTCAGACCATTTGAAATTATTATTTTACTGACTATTTTTGCCAATTGTGTGGCCTTAGCTATCTATATCCCCTTTCCAGAAGATGATTCCAACGCTACCAATTCCAATCTGGTAAGTACTTGATTTTGCTTACTTCCTTGCTACCTATGCATCATTACAATCTTACGAGCTACTGGAAGGCCTCACTCAGAACTTTGTACAGAGGCTGTTGGAGGTCAGGAGAAAAAAGTTACACAGTCGCACAGTACCAAAGATATTTTGATTTCAGGTTGTTGAAGTCTTGGATTGCTAGTTTATTTAGATCAGTAGCTGTTTTATCATGGAAACAGCATAAACCTATCTACACGACAGACTTGTGTTGATTTTACGCCAATTATCATGGCCACTGCCAAAGAGAAGTACTGTTTAGTGAGACCTGTGTTCTGCTGATTAGTTGAAAAAATTGTTAGAAGTCTCTAGTTGTCTCATTCCCAGATTACAATTCCCAGAATTCCTTGAGAAGAGGGAATGACACTTAAACCAATTAAAGTCTGTAGTGCAGATATGACCTGAGCTTTTTGGGTTTGTAGTTTTGACTTTTTTTTGTTTGTATGAACAAATTCCTGTGTGTGTTTTGAAGGCTGTTTTTAATTGCAGGTGCTTATTTGTTTCATTCGTGTGCTATTTCTGTTGCATCTATTTTATGAAAAGGTATAGTTTAATTGATTGGACCCTCCTTTCAACTGAGAAACAATTTTGTGACTAGAGTGTAAGGTGCTTTGGAATGTGTTCCTATTGCACACTGTCATTTGTGTTCGAAAGATAATTGGTTTCCCCCCTTTTTACCTCAGAAGTTTTCTGTGCTCTGTTTCCACTAAATGAAAACAGTAATGCCAGTAGTTTAGCATAGGCCTGTCTATAGAGTGGAAAGGGACAAAATGTGTTTACTTTTGGCATTACATGACTACCTTTGCTAAGTGAAGGAATCATAATTTAGAGTTGGACAACTGGAATGTAATCCATAACATCAGGATAAATTATTGGATCCAGCCAGCTTTCCCCCTCAATCTGTTCCCTTTCTCACCTGTCTCACATGACTTTGCTTCGTGCAGGTCCTATGATACCCAGCATAGCCTTTTTCGTGGTCAACACATAACCACCACGTAATCCCTTCTGTCCCTTTTTCAACAGTAGAAAAGTTGGTTGATTCCGAACCAAAATATTTCCCTCTGCCTTTTCCCAAGAAGTTGCCTGAACTCAAACGACCTCCTCTGCTATGAATGGAAAAAAGTGAAAATCTTACTTTGCATCCAGCGTTATTGAAATAAAGTTTATTCAGAGCCTGTAAAGGCGATGTCATTCTTTTGATTACTGCCAAGGAATTCACTGGAGTGCAGTGAGGGTGGAAGATTTTCAGGAAAATAACTTGCATTTCTAAAATAAGATAACTAGACCTGTCTGTCTGTTCTCAGGCATTTGCCCCATGATGAATTAATTTCATAGGACAGTTCCTATTGAGCTGATGGGGAGGGGGAAGGTTTCAGAATTTGGCTTGAAAATAAATCTTGTGTTACAAATCTTAAGTTGTTGCTTTTTTCCTTTGTGGTTTCTTGGAGAAAAAACATGGAGGACAGGAAGGAAATTCAAGGGCTACTTTTAAGATTTCAAGGATTTCACCATAAGGTGAAGTACATGTGTGAACTCATGATATGCTCAGAGCTGGATTCATGTGCAAGGTAGCTAAACTAAGCTACAGTTTAGGATCTCAGGTTATGATGGGCCTCTAATACACATTTTTGGTAATGCTGTGAAGCTTTTTTAAGTTGACAAAGTTTTAGGGTTGCCAACTTGGGGGGTTGGAAATTCATGGAGACTTTGGGGGTATATCATGGAAAGGGTGGGTTTTGTGGAGGGGAGGGACCTCAGCGGGATTTAATGCTATAAAGTCCACCCTCTAAAGCTGTCATTTTCTCTAGGGGAACTGATTTCTGTAGTTTGGAAATCAGTTGTGATTCCAGGAGATCTCCAAGCCCCACCTGGAGGTTGGCAACACTACATAGTTTAGAGCCTCAGCAGGTCTTAATCTAGACCTGGGTCTCTTTTTTTCTCTCCCCCCCCCGATACTTCACTACATAATTGAAAGGGACTAAACTGACAACGCAAATACATTTAATTCTGAATTAGAAAACACACACAAATGTGCACAAATATGTATGCTATAGAAATGGATCTCCTTCACAAACAAAATTACTAGGAATATTCCCCTTTTGTGTATTTTGATGTCTAAAGATAAAACATCAAAGGAAAGTGAATACTCATATATGAATACAAATAAACCAGTAGCATTTAGCAGTACATTCTTGTGATTAAGCTCTTGGTGATGAAGCAGTATTTTCTCCCATTGGGGCAGGAATATGATTGTTTGCAACCATCATGGAAAGATTCACTTGAGTGGATGAGTTTAAAGGCCATATGAATCCTCAAATCGAGGCTTGCCAGTCAGTACGCACTTGACAGGGAGATACAGGACAAGTGTATAACAGCCTCGCTGGTATATGGCCAGTCCTCTACCTAATTTCTGTTGCTGTTTTGTGACATGTTTGTCATATTCATATATTTTGAAGGTATTTGTAAAACATATTGCTTGTATACCTAAAATGTGTGAAGTTGGAAGACGTCTGAAAATGCCTGCTTTTGACCCTGGAGAATGGCTGCCAGTCTGAGTTGGACAGAGCCAGTTTGGTGTAGTGGTTAAGTGTGCAGACTCTAATCTGGAAGAACCGGGTTTGATTCCCCACTCCTCCACTTGCAGCTGCTGGATGACCTTGGGCAAGCCATAGTTCTGTCCAGGGCTTTTTTTGTAGAAAAAGCCCAGCAGGAACTCATTAGCATAATAGGCCACACCCAACAGCAGAAACTCAATAGCATATTAGGCCACACCCCTGACAGCACAGCTCATTAGCTTATTAGCCCACACCCCCATGCCTTCCCTTGGCTTGCCTGGCCGCCCCTTGGCTGTGGGGAGCCCAGGCAAGCCGGCCCTTGGACAGGCTGGGGAAGGCACAGGGAGGCATTGAAATGCCTCCCCGATCCTTCCAGGGGCCCCCTGGCCCACCCACCTCAGAGTCGCCGGGGGGTCGCTCTCCAGGCCTTCCCTCTGTAGCCACGCACGCAGAGGTTTTGGCTGTAGTGGTCGTGACCAACTCTGACGCCCGCCGGAACTCTGTTACTGTGCGTTCCTGCCCCCAAATAGACCTGGTTCTGTCAGAGCTGTTCCTGAAAGAGCAGTTCTCTCAGAGCTCTCTCAGCCCCACCTACCTCACAGGGTGTCTGTTGTGGGGAGGGGAAGGGAAAGGAGTTTGTAAACCGCTCTGAGACTCTGAGTGAAGGGCGGGGTATAAATCCAATCCTCCTTCTCCTCCTCCTTTGACCTTGATGGACCAATGGTCTGATTCAGTATAAGGCAGCTTCATGTGTTCATGTGTGGTGCCTTTGGGCATTTTCCACAGGATGCTTTAATAACTTACACCATTTCTTGTGTCTATGGCGGGACTGTGAAACCTACATTGTCCAGAAAGTGAAATAAATTAAGACAGTCATTCTCTTCTGCTGCCCATCCCACATTGATAATATTCACACATGCAGACAAGCAGAGTGCTGGAGGCTCAAAGGCACTTTTAGTGAAAAATGCTGTTAGTTTTTTTAATGAACTCTGCTCTTGGTATATTTTCCTGTATTTTATTTATTTACAACAGGCTTGTGAATAGTTCCTTGTTTGGTTCCTTGAGGCAAGTAAAAGTGGTTCTAGATAGATGGTGAAAGTTTAAAAATACTGTTTTGTTTTTTCTTTCACCTTTTTTGTGTGTGTGCGTGTGCCTGTTCCTGGAAGTCATGGTGACCTCTGGCAACTACTGGGGCACAGAGGACATTTAGAGAAGTGGCTTGATAGCCTGCCTCTGGCCTCCTGGTATTCTCTGGAGGTCTCCCATCCAGAAACTTAACGGGCAGCCCTGCTTAGCTTTCAAGATCTGACAAGATCAGGCTTGCCTGGGCTATCCAGGTCAGGATCACTTTTCCCCTTTAGTTTACCAATTGCTAATATGCATGGGAATATATTAAAGTAAATGGTGAAAACCTCTAGCCTGTCTGGGAAAATAACTGAGCAACTCGAGTGCCTAAAATAAAAGAAGCCTGCAAATATTCCTTAAGATAAATTCAACATGCTTATTTTAAATAAATATAGCTAACCTTCAGGTGCCATTTAGTTTAAGATGCTGCAACATAAAAATTGTGGACAGCTATTACAATGTCTGTCTGTCTGTCTATCTACATTTTAGTTTTGTGGTGATCAACTGTGTATTATTATTCCTTTAGTTCACATAGGTATCATGCCTAAGCAAGTCTAATCAGAAATGTCCAGTTTTATTCAGTGGCGATTACTCCCAGGAAAGCATATTTAGGGTCACAGTCATCACACTTTATAAAAGAACATAAGCCAAAAGGCAGTTCCTTGCTTCAGTAGTTTAAACTGAGATTTAGAGGAGTCAACAGAGTTAGCATGGCATACTGGTTAGACCAGGGATGTCAAACATAAGGCTTGAGGGCTGGAACTGGCCAGTGCAGGGCTCTTACCCGGACTGCAAGCAACTGGTGTGGATGGAAGTGTAAAGTACTCCCCTTTCTATGGTATCCCTTGGAAAAAACCTAGTCTTGCATATGATTAAATACATTTATTGGGGCTTTTGTGGGTTCCCCAGTAAATCAGTTGCTTTCACTGTTAAGAATCATTTGATTTTTTTGTATTTTGAGTAAAAAATAATATTATTAATTGGGTTTTGTCTGTCCTTTATAAAGTTTATATCTCCTGTACCTGGTGTTATATTTTATGGAACTAAGACTAGCAAACTGTGACAATATGTGCAGAATATATATTTAAAGAAAATATATTTAAATAATTTTCTAATAAACTTTTTTCTATTTTGAGTTACTTGTAATTTAAGCAGACAATTGTCTTAAAGGACAATGACAAAGAACTTTTTTATCAGTGCTAATTACAAACAAAACATGCAACTCAAGTACAGTTATGCACATAAGCGTTTGGGCGTCTAGGTGTGCAATAGTACAAATTTCTC